TTTTTTTTTTTTTTTATTTGATTGATTTTGTACCTGCATATGTATAAACTTGCCATACAGAAACAGTCGTAAAATGCAACAAATAACATTTTCTAATCAAATTTTATTATTTATTTCACGACTACGCTGATTTTTAAGCAGACTAACAGCCATATATATATTTTTCAACTTGTCATAAAAATTCATGCAATAGAGTGGTTAAACATTTCGCTATCGGGCTATTTTTCGCGCGTGTTGCCCGAGCTGCAACGAGCGGGCAAACCCGAAATCCAAATTAATTAGTCAATAGAATAAAAGTAAATCGAACATAAAAATAACGTAGTAATAAACGTAATAAAAAGTAAAAATATTATCCAGATAAGATGTAAGATTTAATTTATGAATGATGATGGAAGTCACTCGCTGTCGAGCGTCAGTATGCTACGGACTGTGATCTCAGTCAGGCGACAGCAAAATGTTAAATCGAGAGAAATTCAGATCTTATTTATTATTTGTCGCCTAATCGACGCGTGTTTTATTTATTAAATCCAATCGATGTTGCGTGACGAAGGCATTTAAGGAGGCGTTGTCGCGAGGAAAGTAAATCGAGGAGAAACCAGAAAATGTGTTTTTTACTTGTTTAGCTTACTCTCGATGGTATGTGATTATGCAGATTTTCTTCTTTTCTATGTGAAATTAAGTAGTTATTACGGTGAAAGAAACTTTGTTGAAGATGTGACAGCTTGTGGAAAATACGAGGCTCGTCCAGAAATCGTTTTATTTATTTATTATATCTTGTATCTTATTATATATTTCAGGTACTTTTTTGAGGAATTATTAAATATTTTTAAAATGTTTATTTGCGCACGGTTTGCATAAAAAGTACAATAATTTAATTGTAAGAGAACACAGTGTTTCTCTCGAGCATTGTGGCTGCTGGTCAGAGGAAAGTGTGTTAGTTAAAGAGAGATCAAGTGCAAGTTTGTTGGAGTTTTGTTAAATTGAACTTCCCCTGAAAGGATGCCACTTACGTTTATTGAATTTCGGTTCACGGACATGACTTTCTAGTCCCAGTTCTAATGAGCCAGCAAGTCTTTAATCCTCTTGCTGGTTTATCTCTCGAAAAATAATCGCCAGTTGTGCCATAAATCTGAGCCTTCGTTCGAAGTTTCCAAACAGTGGAAGTTGTAAACAAATTGGCACTTGGGTTTGGATTTGAATTGGGCTGGATGTGTCTTCCCTCTCGTTACTTTATCATCAGAGAGAACGTTCCACGGGACGGATGGCTCGACCGTGAATGAAATCAGTGGTACATTTGGTCCGCAGAGACGCTGTCGTGCGATCACACAAAAGTCACACCCTATTACATAGAGTCAATCACGACGAAAGTAGGATTCTGGGCAGCGCCGTGCGGAAATCTGTTTTCCTACCTGATCGGCTGGTGCAATCCGAAGCTCGAGGAGTATATACTCATGGGAGAAGACGCCCCACACACGTGAGTAAATTTCACTCGTTCAACGAAACAAATAACGCTGGTAAAACACAGTCGGTAAAAAAAAAAAACAAGTGAAATTGTGTGTGTGTACATAACTGTGTACGTATTACAGTTGTACGACTAATCGATAAAAATTCGTTGATTTAATTGTAACAGAAAAATTCACAAGAGGAATTATTAATCGTCGAATACAAAGATCTAACAGAAAGTCGATAAATGTATGATAAATATGAAAATAATATAACAGGGTAAATACAAAAATTTCATGGAACATCGGACAATTCCATGGACGATTAAAAAGGAAGGGAATAAAATTGAATGATAGTGAAAATTTGTACCTAACGAAAAGTAAATCTAAAAATCTGGAGGAAACGAAATTTATGATATTTTACTTGAAATGTTGCAGAGCACGAGGCATCTATTATCTCTCAACAAACGGACACAAACCATACGCCCGCGGCCTTCCCGTAAAAAACCAACGAACGACAAATCGGAAACGATCGTCCTCCCGCCAGTATTAAGCTTATTGAAGCAACTAATCAACATAATTATAGAATAACTTGCTGTATACGTGGTCGTCAATTGTATGCATCGTACGTTGTGTTATGTTTGGCTCTGTTGTTTCTTTGTACATTTTTTTTAATTAGTTCTTTTACGTAATAAACTATTTTGCCACGCAACCAACCATTAACCCGCCGCACACTAACTCACCGTAATTTGCTGATTAACGTACTTATTCCACGGATTCTATCATTACGGCGTTTCAAGAACTTTCACTCTTTCCGATTCCAGCAATTCTACAAAATCGCCGGCCGTTTCGTGATTCTCTGTTCTTGTTATAATGTTACCTATTACCTGTTATCAACCGTGAACCTACTTTTCCTCCGTTACAGCTCGTTGTTTCGTTAACTATAATAGATGTAGAGGTAGATTCTAATTAACGTGCGAAATTCAGAGGAAGATTTCGTTATTTCGAGTGGTACAAGTTCTAATCTAATTAGAAACTTGCCGAGTAACTCTGAATTTCTAAACGTTAGTTACTTAATTCATTCCCGAGTTTTTGTATGAAAGGCCAAGGAAGGAATTCAGCTATCGAAAATCGAAAGATCACCAGATTAGTAACTGACTGTCATAACTTTACGTTACAACTGAGGAAAATAAATCAAAAGAGAAAATTCATATAAAATGCGATTTCACAATTACCACTGTCTCTGTGAGGTGGGGCTCAGTCGGTAGAACATCAGACTCTTAATCTGAGAGTCCAGGGTTTTCGAGCTCCTGTTCAGGCGAAAAAAAAAAGACATTGTCCTTTAGGACAACAGCTTAGGGAGAGCTCTGTGTGTATAAAAAGGTCTCGGAGCTCTCCCAACGTGGAGGTTTTAGTTGGTAAGAATCCGACACTACCTGCGTCTTCCCTTAAAAGACTCAGGTGTCTTATGAAGATTTCCTCCACGTAAAAAAAAAAAAAAAAATTACCACTATCTCTGAAAATATTCCTCTAAAAAATACGTGCGTGTCGGGGTATTTCGAAATACTGCTCATTCAGGAAGAAATGAAGAAAACAAACAAGACCATTACGAATTTTATGTTAACAACAATATTTATTACATAATAATTACGATATAATAATAACTTCTATGGATTTACAGTACACTGCCGCGCTAAACCTTATAATTACGTATAATATGCAATGGAATGATTACAAGTTGTTAATACATCCACGTTTCAAGCTTTTGGAGGCATTCAGGGCTTCGTTTGTTTTTTGCTTTTTGTTTTTTTCTTTTTTTTTCAGATTGGCTCGAATGCGATGTAAAGGGAAC